TTAAAAAGTGAAAAAGCAAAGAGTCGGCTACTTATTTTAATGACAGACCCCAGTGGGACTTGACGATCTTCTTTTAAAAAATCAACCGCTCACGAAGACATATTTTCCTACGTTTTAAGTCTGAGGGTTTATTTAAAAAATTCCTCGGTAGGTTAGTGACCATTTGGAATTTGGCAGAATTTTAAAAACGCGAAAAATAGCCAGACGCGGGAGATTTTTAATATAAAGATGGAATATGTGCATTACAAACAGGCAGACGTGGTGGGATGGTGACATCGATAGCAAGAGTAGAAACTGTCAGAAAATCGCCCTAAGTTTGAATGCTAATAATAACAATAAGGTGACAGTCACTTAAACATGACAGAGATGCAAGTGGCAATCTTGAAAATTAGTTTGCACGAAGAATGACATCAAGCACAACGTGTTTTCAGAGGGAGAGTCTGGAAAACATGCGGAATGCACACGGTTTTCTTGGACAAACCCGGCTCGATTGAAAAAATCTTCGATGGGTAAGTCGCATAAATGATATAAATTTTCTAGAAGCACGATACTCGGACGAAACGACATCGTAATTAAGCATGCTATTGCGTCAGTTTGGTAGCTTTCAAGGGCAAGTAAGCAGATAAGAGGACGAAAACCAACTCACGGGTATATTGACGGACTTCAAGTAGACAAGGAGAGATTCTAGGGAGCCCAGGGTGCTCGCCACGACATAAACACCCACTGGCGAAACGGAAATGGCCTTTAGAGCGTCGTGCAGACCGCGGCTAACCTCATCCTAGAAGAAATGGGGAAAATAAGATGAAAGCAGCCTAAACAATGACATAATAACGATGCACATGTAACTCCATAGACCGCGTGGACTAAATACTATAGAAGCACGTTCTTGCAGTCAGCAAAGGAACACGTGATCATTAGTTATGAGAGAAAAGTTCAGAATGTGTGGTTTGTAGATATGAATAGGAATTACTTCGTCAAAAGATGGGCATAAAACACAGGACAACACAGGCAAATACGCAGGCCAGGCCTTACTGAGTCACTCATAGATGTAAAAGGGTGTCAGGACAGATAAGTAAGCCGTAACTGGACATCAAAACCTTATTTGCCCTTGTCGAGAATGCTTCTCGGGTGTCGATTGCTTGCTGTCATGCGAACACTAGTGAGAAATCTAGGCTAGAACTTCGGAACAAAACATAGCATTTACTTTGCCTCCTGAGGGCCAACGAAAATCATTCCAACCTGACAAAATTCTGATCAAATTAGCAAAGATCGCTGGTGAAGTACTGTAGCCTACTTATAAGACAGGTGATATGTCTGCAGCAATTTGAGCAACACTTTTGAAAATAAGCAAATCAATCCTCGTACGAGCCATCTGAGAACCCAGTAAAAATCGCGAAAGCTAAAACGTATATTCTAAAATGAGTGGCTTTAATGCATAGAGGAAGTGAACGTTTATAGCATACCTTGTAATAAAGTTCATCCGCTGCATCCTCCGCAACGTACAGGGGAAGCCCGGCCAAGGCTTTCTCCAGGTCTTTGGCGATCACCTTTACACCCTGAGCACCAGTAACCTCCTTCAAGTGTTCGTAAGTGCCCTTGACGCGAAGTTCGGACATCGGGGCAGGAAAGAGGATACCACGCACAGTGGTGACGATCGGCCCTTCCTGGCCAGCCAACACGATGGTATCGCCTTCCCGAATACGACCATTGACGACAATAACGTCCAGGCTGGTGCCCAAGCCAACTGTCTCCTTGACCTACAGAATCGGGAAATGCGTATAAGTGATCCTCCAGTAAATTGACCCAGGTGAGCAAAATACTATTTTCACCTTAACCAGCGAGTGAACAAAAAGTGAACAAGTAAGCAATATACAAAAGTGCACAAAAGGCAAAGGATAGAATTAGGATGCGCAAAGAAGTCAGTACAACCCCATTTTCGTGAACAAATACAGACGGAAGGCAACGAGTCGTTCATGGATGTGATGATGACGGGAAATTCTGGGAAAAGTCATTAGGTAATAAGGAAGCGAAGAAGCAATTCCATTAATTTCAAGGCCCTCTGTAACTGAAGATTGACAGCTTCCTGACATTTTATATCAACAACGACACATCAGTGGAAGTTTAGTCAAGGTGACGGAATGAAATACTGAATACTAGGAAGGTTTGGTAGATTTGAATAATTCAGTTGACCCAATTGTGAAAAATTTGGCGGCCTCGATGGAATTCGAACCAACACCAGCAAGAGGATGCTTGAGTACAGCCAACACTCTAACCAAGTAAGCTATCGAGGCGCCACCGAGGGTCGTGAATTTAATCATTAATTGGGTCGATTTACCCGCCCAGCCAACTACAGCGTACGGAATCCACCAATTCGGATACAGTAAGCTGACTGCCCAAGCAGGATTTCCCATGCAATCAATCTATAATCCACCAAACGATTACCAGGCACACTTAATTATTAGGAGGGGTTTAGCAGATTTGAATAGAATCAATAGCTATTTTATTATTTTTTCGTATCTCTTTGTTTATAGTGGCTGAGACATACGCCGACCCTACGGTAGGACAAAACGCGCAGAAACACAAGCCAATAAAAAACATGTTCTGACTAGCTGCGCTGCCTAGCTTTCGACAGTTGATGACGGAGAATGATGCATAAAACGAGCAGATTCAAGCAAAAGAGAAGGCAGTCTTTAAAACGGACATTAAAGGGATCTTCAGTGGGGAGGAAGTTACCTCCATTACGGACGCTTTAAGCTCCTCGGAGAATGTCAGACGTTTCCGTAGTCTTTGTTGCATAGTCTGGCAAATGAACGCTAAAAGATCGCCCATGCCGTCGCCTGTATGAGCCGAAGTTGGCACCATACTTATGTATTCGTCTGGATTTTTGTTCTTATAGAAGAGTTCCGCATTAATCTCCAACTGTGCGAAATCATGCACAACCTGGAAAGGAGAAAAACTGCAAATTAACGACAGAATTTCACAAGACATGTTAACACGACAAGGAAGAAACTTTAAGTAGTTAACTTGGAAAGTGTGTAGTGCCATAACTTGATCAAATAAGTTAACTTCCATCTTAAGCATCACCAGCTCTGCTGAGCCTGTGATTTTGTAACTTCACTGTAAAGGGGACATATGTGGACACCACGATACCATGGAAATATGTGAGCGATTACTGCTGTGATAATTGTGATTTATAGTGCACAAAAGAGGAAAGGTATTCCATGCTATCGGATCTACTTCCTCAAAGACGAAGTTTGACCTTAGAGTAGAATGGCTTAGTGTAATTCGCAAATGAAGTAAATGTTATGTTTACTGCAATAAGAATGAAATATTGGTTAATCCTATAAAACTGGAATAAACAAAATAAAGACCTCGAAGTTCGCAACATGCCTGTTTGAAACGTGTATTAAAATCACTCAGAGTAACATCGCTTTGCATAGCCATTGTCTCTTCTATAGATTTGTTGGGGTCCGACTTCCATTCATAAAGTCTGTCAATTTTATTAAGTGCGACCACGAAAGGCGCCTTTCGATTACGAAGAATTCTAATTGACTCCTTGGTCTGCTCTTCAAGGCTGTGCATCAAATCGACTACGAGAATTGCGAAGTCACATAGGGAAGAACCACGAACTCGCAGATTCCTAAAAGGCAAGTAGAGAGATTATAGAGGCCTTGCAAAAAATTAACTGGCATTTAGTCTCAAGTAGTTATAGGAACATGAAAAATCGGATGCTATGGCCTAGTGCCAAAGTAAATTATGGCACCATTTCGCTACCGCATATGAACGATAGTATCTAAAAAAACATTGGAGTGACGTTTACGTGGTCTGAAAAGGCCTTAAAAAAGTAAATTGCAACAGTGACACCAACATCAATGACTACAAGAATACAAAGCCTAAAGATAAGGCGTGCGATAAGGGCTTTTAAAATGGTAACATACGAGAAGGACTCGTGGCCGGGTGTATCGATAATCAACAATCCTGGCAGGTCCAACTCCTTAGTGTTGAAGTACTTGCACATACTCGTTGCAGATACGATGTTTTCGCGAGGTACGTTAGTAGCACCAATCTGTTGCGTTATACCACCAGCTTCTCGGTTCTGCACATTCGTGTTGCGCAGTTTATCGAGGATTTTAGTCTTGCCGGTATCAACATGCCCAAGGACACAAATAACACCTGCTCGGAGTCGTTTCTTTTCGTCTGCAGCCATTTCAAATTTTCGGTGACGTTCCTAAAAATGAAGTTACGTTAATTGGAACCAACCTCCATACGAGCCTTAGCCTCTTCAATGAGTCTCTGTTTCTCTTCTTCTGAAAGTTGTTGCTCTCTGAGTTTCCAGGCGGAGGCCGCATCAAGTAGAGAAGAATCGTCAACATCGACTGAAATTTCTTCGTTAGCGTCCTCTGATTCCTCACTCACAAGATCATTGGCTTCACCTTCTTCATCAACCTTCTGTTCGACGTCAGTTAACTCACGAGTGAGGTCAATCCAATCATCTAAAACATCGACTTTGGGTGATTCTACCTCCTGAGGTTCAGCAACAGCCGTATCGCCGACTTCACTTTCCGCGGTCGCGTTCGGCACTTGAGACTTATTTTTCTTCTTTGAGTAGTTCGGTCTCTTGGTTTCTGGCCGCAGAGCGTTCAGATCAAGTCCTCTTGCCTGAGCAAGCTCGAAAGCCTTTCTTCTGTCTTCCTTCTGCTTTTCCGTTAAAAGCTTGCCCTCCTCC